TAATTAGAAATGAAAAACCTGAGCTTCATCACATTCTTGAAATGCTTCAATGGATGCAGAGATCACACTCAAGTCTCGGGCCACGGCACGAGAATCTGGAACTTGAGCAACAATCCCATAGAGCTCCAAATACGGGTCGGGTCAATACTGAAAAGGGTCCACACTTTGAAACCCGGGTCATCCAAAAGGCTCAAGGGCAAGAACATCTACAAGGCCTACATGCCTGGAAAGAGCAATAAAGGGTGTGGCAATAGCAATAGCAATAGCAGTGGCCTTATGAGCTTGCTTTACTATTACGACGAGACGTGCCATCCTTATATTTGGATTCACGACACGGGTTGCGATTTTTCGAAGATGGTCAAACAACAATATATAAGTCTTGAAGATTTGAAGGATTTTTCGGAGATTAAGGTTTTTCGTGATCATCAGAAGGGTTGCATTTCGGTGAGAAAGAGATCGAGGCCCGATTTTTGTTAGAAAATTATCGGTTTCATACTATATATATGGTTTGAGTTTTTTTTATTATATGGTTTGGTTCTTGAAATGTTTTAGAAAAAAGAACTTGTTATTGGGAAACAAATATATATATAGTTTCCTCTTTGTGTAACAACTTATTGTGTTGTTGAAATCTAAATAATACCTCGTGTATTAATTTGTATGATTGTATGGACGATTCTAGTGTTAATCTTAACCCGAGAATTGGATTCGCTTGATTTTATTTGAGATTTTTTTTTTACAAAAAACAATACTATAAAATAATAATTTAATCTCGATTGATTTGCTCCTTGATATGAATTTGCAATTAAAGCAACGTAATGTGGTGGAACTGATTTACTGATCATGTCACTTCAAGTTATGAATCTAAACCAATATTTAATTTTCATGTTATATATGTATGGCCGGTATCCAATTCAGACTTGTTCTCATCACACCTATATATATATGCTTCTATGTTGAATTCATATAGTAAGTTAACGTAACCCTTTTTTGAACCCGAAAAAAAAAATCAATAATAAACAATTGAAATTACAAATTTGTGAAAAAATAATTTACTAAAAGGAATGCATGTCAACTCATATGGTTTTCATAATTTAAATGCAATTATTACATGAAATGATGAGGGAAATCTCTATGATGCATTTTTATATCAACTCGAAAATAATTCAATTTACTAGCTAAATTGTAACAACTAAATGTGATTGCTTTTAGTCCGTACTATATTTTAAGAAAATTGTGTGAGAAGTAAATTCTTACTGATATGTGAATTATGAGCATAATTTATAACTTATAGGTAAATTATTAGAGGCGAATTCTGGTATTTAAAGATAAGTAAATTTCGTTAGTGCTTGACTTTTCTCGATGTTGGGGTGACTCACCAACCGACCGAATACTTCAAAGTTATTTATAATTATTTCACGTTATCCTACATTAACTAGTGCGTGGCCCGCGCACGGGAAAATAATATTACAATTATATTATAAATTAAATATATAATATCATTAATTATGATTTACTCATTATTTTTAAATTAAACCAGGTTGAACACAGCTCGACCGGATAGATCGAGAACCGAGTTATAAACAGTGCAGTTCGCTTAAATAAAATATTTACTATTGAATCCGTCAACATCAGTCGGTTGGACTGGTAGGATCGATACGATTTTCTAAATAAATTTTGTTACATTAAAAATTATTTTAAATAAAATTACATATTTAAATAAAATAGAGATTTATAAATTGTTTATCAATTAGTTTTAACATTTCAATTTATAAATTGTTTAAATATTTAAGTAACTCATTTTATTAAAATTTATTACAAAAAGTACTCTATATATATATTAAAATGTATATATATTGATATTAAAATGTTTATAAATTCAAATCTGAACAAACTACAAATGATTTAATAGAATAACTTGATCGTTTCGATGATGGTTCGATTCTGAAAACCATATTCACTGTACATTAATAAAAATTATAATAAAATAGTATTTTATTCACATAAATATTAATAAAATGACATATAAATATTCATTGATCATTAAACATGTTGTCATATAAACGTATTGTTAATATGATTATTTGAAGTTTGGGGAATATTAAAAATTGAAATGAATTAATAAATAAATATTGTTGTCATATTCACATAGTAATTCTTATTAAAACTTGAAATGCATTAACAGGCTTTGAGAAATGGTTAACATTCTGTTACATGTTGACAAATTTATGAACAAAGCCTCATAAATTGAAAAATCTTGTTAACATGATGCCAATTTTTAATGAACAAAGTCTGTTACCATTTCAATTTGAAGTGAAAATCACGTATCTATATAACAAAGCATGTTAATCACTCTTTTAATATATTGTTAATATGATTATTAGGGAAAAAAAGTTACTAACAATGGTAGGTAATTAATGTTGACTGAAATTTAACTTTCTATTTTTAAAAAATGGTAATTCTTATTATATATATATAGATTCTGATCGGTATATTTTAAAAATTACATTGTAATGCATAATGAATCAAAATTTACACGAATTTGTTAGATAACTTATAATGAAAAAGTCCGCAATACACTAAATCTAACTTATATTTTGTTAGATAAAATCTAATGAGTAATTTTTCATACCTAATATATTATGCTGGAATATAATGAAAGAATCGTTGAATTACTTTGTGCATTTTTCTTATGAAATTGCGCAATTTTATTAAGAAGATTTTAGGGAATTGTTTTATTTGTGACAAATAAAATATTGTATCCAAAAGCTAAGGGTATATAATAATATTTCCTATTAAAGTAAATATTTCTTTAAATATAGTCTATAGAAAATAATTTTTAGATTTAAAGTAAGGAAAAAAAATGCTATTAGTAAAAATNAATACAGAGGACCGGCAAACGGGCATTTTCAATTAGCACGCTTTCGGTTTTGAGTCAAATTAAAGAGTTCTTTGCTCGTGAAAGTGTAGAAGGTGAGATCTTATATGTGACTTGGTGATTGTGTTTGCAGTCTCAAATTGGCAGTGGTTGCAGCTAATTACGGCTTTTTATTCAATAATTTATAGCATTTGCTTGAAGTAATAAAATCGAGGAATTTTATTTTAATTTATCAAAGATGAGCGCGATTCTTGCTAAATACTATTTGTTTATAATTTCAACTAGTATAACACCCGTGTAAACATGAGTGAAATTATTCTTAAATTATAAAATTAATGAAAAAAATTATTTTAAATTTTATTTATTTTTTTACAAAAAATATATATTATTATATATTTTAGAATGACACTTGTTACTTGTGCGACTTACATGTGTTATATTATAGTAATTTTTATACCTTATATATCATATAACTACTTGAAATATAAATATATTAAAAAATAATTTTATTATTGTTATAAAGATAAATATAATTTATTTTTTTTATACATACAATATGGATGTTAAATCGAAGCTCATCAAGAGATGATTAATTTGATATATTATATATGTAAAACTGATGAAAAATATAAAAGTTATTAACTTTTAAAATATATTTACAATTCAATGGTTATAATAAGAAATGATATTAAGATGCAATTAATACATGTAACATGACTATAAATAATCAACATATTTATGGATAGTCCGAATCTAATTATTTTTGGTTTGGAAGTAAATTAAAATCTACTCAAACCTAATAACGAAGCATATAATTTTGCCACATAGTATCCGGAAGCATGCGAGTCTGCCACATTTCTTTCTTGAGTATTTTAGACCAACTCCAACCCAATGCAAAACAAAAAAGTAATGTGAAACCCCATTTAATCGGACGGTAAACGCATTTTTTCTTTTTTTTTCTTTTTTTTGGTCGAAACAATAGAAATTCTCATAAATAAACACAAACAATGTTTGAATACAAGTACAAATCAAATCTGATGCTGAAATAAGGGAGCACCACATGAAGGTGGACTAGAATAGATACAAACAACATCAAAGGGACTCAAGCGGTTATAAGCCAAACGGGACTTAAGTCTCTTCATAATACTGAAAAGAAGAAAAAATACAGAGAAAAGGAAAACAACATTAAGACTTCCACTGGCCAAGGACCCTAGACCATCTTCATTGTTGTCTCATTTCTCCAATAATGTAGGCCGGTGAGCATCCTCATATTCTGTCCAGTCCTTAAGGGATGTAGCAACAATTTGGTGAGCCGACCTTGAAATGCCCTCAAATACCCAAAAGTTTCGGGATTTCCAGAGCCACCAAAGTATATGTATTGAAAGTTGAATTCTGGCTTTTGAAATATCCTTATGATTAAAAGCAGAGATGTGCCACCTCCAGTCTTTCACAGTGTCCAAATCTGTGAGTCTATCCAATTGCAATGGGGACAGCTTCCACACCAGTTGTGCTTTAGAACAAAAGAAAATGACATGTTTTGTGGTTTCTTCAGCTAAGCCACACACCTTGCATATGTGATCAATATCCAAACCTTTCTTTCTGAGATTCATACCCACAGGAAGTATACCAAAAACACATTTCCAAACAAAATGTTTAATTTTACCTTTGACTTTAAGCCTCCAAAGTCTGTTTCTTGCCTTCTGATCCCTGAGAACAGATCCACTGCTTTGAGCCTTATCTAGTCCGAGTAGTTTCTGCTGAGTAAGAACAAAATATGCACTGGAAACAGAGAAGTTTCCCTTTTTTGTCTTGTGTCCAAATCCACTTATCATCAAATTCAGGGCTAAGTGTAGATATTTTAAGAATGGCAGAGCAAACATCTGATGGAAAATTCTGTCTCAGAATTTGAATATCCCAGTCACTTCCATCAGGCAACATTAGATCATTAACCCACATCAGATTGGACCCAACACCTAGTTTAAATGTTACTTTCCTGCCATTCAGATCTGGTACCCAGAAATCTTCAACAATTCTAGTGCCTTTACCATTGCTTATCTCAGACCTCATCCATTTGCCACAACAATTAATGACTTTTAGCCAACTGAGCCACAACCAAGAAGTATTATTCTTTCTTTGAGCAGCAAAAATGGAGGAATCAGGAAAGTATTTAGACTTTAGGACTCTGCTTACCAGAAGGTCAGGTTGGGTTAGAAGCCTCCAAATTTGCTTAGCTTAGGGCTTCATTAAATAGCTGGATGTATTGGAATCCCAAACCACCATAGGATTTAGGAAGAGTTAGTTGATCCCAAGCTTTCCAGTGGATTCCTCTGCTTGAGTTATCTCCCTTACTCCACCAGAAACCTGCACAAACACTGGCAATATCCTTGCAGAGGCTTTAGGCAGCATAAAACAAGACATAGTGAATACATGTAGGGCATTTACAACTGCTTTAATTAAAACTTCTCTCCCTGCTGGAGAAAGACATTTATTCTTCCAACTCTTTATTATGTTTTTAACCACAAATAGGACATAAGAAAATGCCTCCCTTTTAGATCTCCCAATACCCAGTGGCAAGCCCAAATATCTAGTGGAGGTATGCAGC